CCACACCACAGCTCCCTTGGGAGAGTGACGGGTCACTCTCATGTAACCCCGTTACACAGCAGCAGTGGTAGGTAGCCGCGCGCGCCGACAAAAAGTATTGTGTAGTCCTTCAAAGTCCTTCATCGACTGTTGTATGTTAGCTACTACCCATCACATTAACCAGCAAACCAACCACGCGCCGTCACCAATCATCATCATCAACGTCATTAGTCACACCATCATAGCCTTGATTGCCCTCGCTCGCTGCTTCTATGTGCGGCAGGTGCGTCGTCCCTCCCTCTTCTTCTGTGGCAAGGATTCATTTTCTTCTTCTTCGCTTCTTCTTCTTCTATCTTCGCCTTCTGACCTTCTTCTAGCCATTTTTCTTGTTTGCTGCTTTATTACTTATTTATTGATCGTCGAGATAATCCAACACCACCATGAAGTAGCAGCAGCAGCAGATGAAGAGAAGAGGTAATCAATAGGGTCGGTCATAGGAAGAGGTGGTGTTGAGGTACACATTTATTATCAGCAATTATTTCTCTATGATGATCGGTTGTTTGCTTGTTGCTAACGGAAGAAGTAGTCGTAAGGTGAATGTGATGCAAGAATGGAAAAGTAAGGAATTAGAAGAAGAACAGAGCAAAGAGGATGAAGCACGATGAGTGAAAAGGTCAGTCAGGGCAGACAGTTATTGTTGTTTCCCATCGTTCGTTCCTTAAATCCATCATTGATGCAACAAGAAGATGAACATCGTGATGATGTTATCCTCTTGCGATCTCCTCCTTATACTACCGACCAAGCGCGGGTGGAAGCTTAGACTCTTGCACAACAGTGTTGATCCATCAATACTTAGATCCTTAACAGTGAGCACAAAGAGAATAAAAGTCTTTCGGATAAGATAAGTAGCAGCATATATGTGATCACAATAATCAGCTATCTTCTTTATTCATATGCGATGTTGAAAGGCTAGTAAGCTGCTACCGCTACTGCTGGTATTTTTTTTATTATGGTAGAGTCAATGATCATCCATGCTGCCTGCAGTGAAAAGTCAAAGTCGTTTTCGATATCCTCCTCTGTAAAGATCCGGTCAGCTTTCGCATTATTCTCATCGTCCGCCTCATTCACGGTTGATGATCCGGCTGGAGTTGCTGTGGTATAGCGCTTCGGACTAAACTTCTGTCGTCTTCCTGCCGTTTGCTGTACCTCCTTGGAATCAATGAGTGGGATATCATCCCAAGGAATGTGTTCCCCATTGATGTTTAAGAAGAGGATCATCTCAGCAACGAAGGTGTCAAAATTGGTTCTCCGTGGATTCAATAGCACACCAGCGATTCCAAACTCACGCTCAATACCCGCAGCTGAAGTAGGATTTCCAAAGATAAATCTAGCAACTGCAGCGAGGTGAGGAAATCTGCCCTGGTGTTTCATCCAGAACCCATCCAGCACATCCTGAGGCTCAAAGTCACCAGTCCGCGGGTAAACTTCAGAAAGCTTTCTATCTCCTCATCCACTAAAGTCTCCAAAGAACATCCGACCGAGG